ACGAAACAAGAGGGTAGTTAGGCGCGCGATACTAAAACGTGTGAAAGTGTTAATATGAAAGTTGTTTTTGGCGTCAATCGCGAGTAATATGAGCATGGCTACAGTGGAGAATTGTTTATGCCAAGAAGAGCATGTCAAATCCAATACAGTGTTTTGCTGATTGACTGCGTGTTTGGTTAAATGATGCAGCGTTGATGGAGGGCGATTTGGTGAATGCAGTGATGAGTGTCGTCAGTAATTTGCGCTTTCTTTTGCAGGGAACGGCACTGGCATTCTGACCCTCAACACAGACAACCAAACAAGTGGCGCTTCATGCAACTGCGCAAGATGACTTTGCACCCGCTTACAAGTGATTTGAAGGCGTGTTTGCCTGAGGGACCAATTCTGCTGTGGATGATTTGGACATTGAGTGGTGCTGCTTGCCAATATCGGTTTTTCAACTACTTGCAAATAAAGTTGTTTGTTCTCGTGAATGTGTATGTGTGCGTGTTAATGCTGAGTAGAGAAGGTGTAGAAGCAAGTAAGGCTTGATGGTGTCTGCGGGTTGCCATGGCAATTGGTGTTGGAGGTGGGATAGTGTAGAATGTTGCGTCAATGCTGTTGCAGCGTTAGAGTGTCGGCGGATAGATGCCAAGGTTGTAGAGTGGAAGATTGCCAGGAGAAGAACAAAGGTCTCCTTTCCTCTATTTCTAACCACTGCTTCTGACTCCGTACTAGTTGATCCTCATTCAATAAGCACTAATCAATGGAAGTGGTTAGCATGTGAAGTGAGTTGCACGACGAACGTGATCGTGGCTGGTCCGATGCGGTGCGTTGTTTCCGAAGCGAATTGAGACAGACTGTTTGCGGGTTGCAAAGTGTTCGTATTGGTCGCGTGCAGTGATAGTTACGTTTGACGTTGTGGCGATGCATCCTGTTAACGTTGTCTTGCCTTCTGGAAGTCCCACTTGCACTGTCAGCTGTGTTTAGGCGCGTTGTCTGTAGCAGTTCTTGATGTATCATTCCCACGCATGCCAGAAGCTTCATCATCTTTCGTCATCTCTCTAGTTTTCCTACCTAGCTACTCCTCACATACGTGCTCAAGGTGAATCAGTATAATTCACATCCCAGATGCAGACAATGCTGGTCGTTGTCCGGAATGGTGTTGAGTACGTCATAGCAATTGACAGAGATGGGGCTAAAACCAAGAACAACGTGTTGCACAGCTGCAGATTGAGTTGGCAGGTATCCTCACACAACCCTGGTTATTCTAACGTGGTGGCGATAACTGCCGTTTCGAAGACGGTATTTGTGGCCATAGACATGCGGTGACTGATATGATCTAAATTGATTTATGCAGGGAATGCAATTGTGCCTACGTGAATGCATGCGTCACGGACAAATGGTGGAGCGACCGAAAATCGCAACTTGGCTGACATCAAGAGTGCAGTAATTGCTTTAGGCTTAACAATAAATAGATATTCTCAGTTGCATGTGAAGTGGCAACAATGAGAATCAATTAGAAGTGCAACTGATGCAAGGTGGAGGAGTAGGGTTGAGTTTCGTATTGGCTTCTTCGAGTGTACGAGGTGTAAGCCATCACGTCCAGACGGTTGTAAACGGTGCATTTGTAGGGAAAGGGTGCAAGTCTTCGCGAGTAATTGTATGCCAATGCTGTTACAAATTTGACGAACCACGCCACCCTAGAATTACCTTGATCTACGCCGTCTAACAAACATTTCTGACCTCTATTTTGTCTGCAGAACCTAGTTTTTTCATCCACTGTCTACAATCAAGTGTTCTGCATTTAGGTTAATTTTGAATGGATTTCCTGTAATTCAGTACTGGTGTTACAGTAAATAATGCGGCCAATAAATGTGAAGATGCGTGCATCTATTAATCCTTGCAGTTTCAAATGAATTCAGTTGAAATCTGTCATTGAATGGGATTTTTTATAAGGAAATACCGCCGTGATAGTCTGGTACTATATTTAGATCTGTTGGCGAACATCTTGAAATTTCTGAAATAAAGATGTGCAGATTTTGGGGAAATTTGGTCTTCGTTCCCGGAAATGTACATAACTAATGGTTTTTAATCAGCCATGGTGAATCTAACTTTATATGTTCTGAAATATTATAAAATACATTAATCCGTGCAGCAATGAAATGTCAAGACACAAATAGTGATGTGGATGACGGTTATCTCAAAACTGTGCTTGAAAAAGCATGTTGTGTTTTGTTCAACACACGGGGGCTATTGGCATGAAGACGCAAATGATGCTAACAGAGACATTAAGTAGAATGCCTATTGCGCTGTTTCACTGGGGCGAAATAACGGCAGAACATCAACTTGGATGTGGTCTAGTAACTGCTTTTGTAAATGCAGGTGTGAAGTCAACGATGCAGACTGCTGCTGCTCGAAAAATATTTGAAACAAGTAGATAAACTCAGTTTCCTAAAAAATCATAACAACGGTATTTCAGACATAGCTTGATACTCGACGTCTAACAAACTTTTCTCGCCTCTAGTTTGTTTTTAGAACCCGGGTTTCCGTGTCTGCCGTCTACATTCAAATGTCCGGCAGCTTGCTGCTCACAGTTTACGTCTGATTACTCAAAACTACTAGTCTTTATCACAAGGTCTTTGGACTGACGCACACTTAGGAGGATTTTGATCGATTGAGGGTATTACCACTGATGCCGCTACGGCATTTCGACCGGTACCAGGGAGGAGGTAAGCAAGGGTCTGCTCCCAGTACCAGGCTAAGTGGACTCATCCTCACCCCCTCATGACATCTTGGAGACACTCAGAGGCAACCTTGAAAGCACGGTGAAGACATAGCCAAGTTGGCATTTTCTACAGACGGGTGAGCTCGATTCAGTGTGTGGAAGGAATTTCATTGAAGTGCGACAGTCGCTTTCGTAATTCTTCATTAGTTGATTGGCATGCTAGAGGCTGTATTCGACACCATTTTATGCGCGTAACTGATCGAACGCAGACAAAACACATTTGGCAGTTAGTGGCCTTCCAAACACCTGGAAATACACAGCAACCTGAAATGTGCCAGTTTGTAGATACACACAGAGAATTAGTGCCAACGGGTATGCTTCCATAGGCGTGGAAGATCTTAGCGAAACTAGACAACAGCATGTTTCATGGAACAGTAGCCCGAACGAATGCACTGTCGACTCGTGTAAGCTCTATCCCCTGCTCACCTACTCAACGCATCCTGCATTTCCTTCATTTCTCTGGCATGGAGGAACACACCTTATGCTCCCACAACCGGTGACACCAATGATACTTCCTTGACCCTCACGATGGCATTTAAACAGTCAACTCAAACTCATTAAACTGCTCAGAACAGGAACCAAAGTAATCCAGCGCGTTTCCAACATTAATCCGCTTGCTTCCAACATTAATCCGCTTGCTTCCAGTTACAACTTAAGGCAGTACCTGAGAGAGTTCACTATTCATACAATTTTGGAAATTATGGGTTGTATCATTACTTACTGAAGTTCATGGTTTAGTTTAACACCGGAATGAAGCCTTAAGTGAGGATGAAATGTAGGAAACAGGTAGTTAGGGCGCTGGCTGTGCTCCACAAACGAGAAATCATCCCCTTTGTCAAGTCACATGATGCAGGCTTGTGTCACCAGTGTACATGGATACCATCCAGCACTTCATTTCAAAGGGAAAATAACGAGAGAAGCGCTTCCACCCCAAATATCCAACAAAACACGTCCCACCATTATTGCGAATTCGAAGTACTGTGATAAGCCCAAAACTAGCAGATGCCACCTCCAAATGCGCTTTGATTGTGTCATTGACGGCCCAATCAATTTTTTAGGCAAAAGACCAGGTATTAGACTTGGTGGTTTTAATGTAGCTTTACCAACAACGGCACTCTCGATTAGCGATATCCTGACATATTTGCCATTAAATTAACACTCGCACACCCAACCCACCTAATCCGGTATCTGAAGGCAACTTAACGCTCCACAAATGACAATGTGACGGCTCCATCGTTTAAGTACACCGAGAGAGCCGAAATTGTCGTACGGCAAACAAGTACACAACTAGCAGTCACTATTTCTAACCACATTGATCGCCTCCGTAGTCGTTTGTGCCGAATTAATTGGCATCACTCGGTTGAGGAGGCTCACACGAGGGCAGCACGACCAAACCGGTAGTGGCTGTCCTCGCTGAAATGTCACCGTTGATGACAGTGTCAGAGGTGGGCTTGCAGGTTGAAATTGTTCGTACGAAACGTCTTAGTGCTTACTTCCATTAATGCTGCTTCAAATCAGCCACCTAACGTTTTCCTACAATTCTAGAAACCTCCATTGCGTTGTCAGTGTGGGTCATGCTGGTGTCAATCTAATACGCGTATACGTCCTCAGTTCCATTAGTCTGATTCACCTGCCCAATAAGCAGCTCATCATTCCCTGCATCCTTTTTGCTCTTCTACTTACCATTTTTTCAAATGCGTTCAAGGTAAATCAGTTGAATTCCCCCCCAAAGAGGCAGATGATATTCATCTTTGTCAAGAATGACGCTGAGTGCTTCATTGACAAAGAATGGGATAAAATGAAACAACCGACAACTTGTCACAATATTTTCGGAACGTGTCAGCTGATTTCAAGAGCCGATGTCAATACATTCCACTCTAGACTCGGAAACGTCCATTAAACATCCAAAATCGGCATGAAACATGGTTCGGGGAATTCCAACAGCATCACGGAACCATAAACATTAACCCCGAGGATAACTCAATGTACATAAGTGCAAAAAGGTCCGCTTTGTCTCAATTTACATTATAGTTTATTTAACAAAATTAAAAAGTTGAAAAAACGCCAGTTTATTGCAAAAGAAAAAAAGGACTGAGAGCATGAGGAAAGATCTATGACTTCACCCTGACGCACGAAACAGAAAAACTTCAAAACTTCTGAAGACTAGTTAATTCCTAGAAAAAGTTGATGCAATATAAAGAGCAAAACGCTAGTGACATAAAAAAAACAACAATCAACAAAGAGAGTGAGCGTAGATAAGCCATTTGGCATCACTTGAAGACATATCAGAGGTTGCACCAGGCTCTGCTGCAGTACCAACCGCCACACCAACACACTCCTCCCCCTCCTCCTTCTCCTTTCCCTCCGCAACTTCTTCACCAACACCCAAGTCGACCACGGCACGACCGAACACATCCGGGCCGACATCATGTCCAGACTCTTTGCAACTCCACTCTACGGAGCGTCTAGGAGCAAACCACAATACACACGGCCTCAGCTTTGCCACACGCCCCACACCTTACCACCCCAACCCAACTCACAACATAACCCCTCCACAAACCACACCAACTACCACCCCACACCCACACGTGACACCACAGCCACACTCCTGGTGCATAATTAAACACACAACAAATACCAGAGTAACTCACGAACGTCATGAAGACTTGCGATTTTCAAGTAGTACACCCACAAGTAAGCCATGCATGTGGTCTTCCGTCTCAACTAACTCGTCTCTCTGCGTTGCTGTGAAATGCCATGTCAGTGTGACCTATGTTGCCACCGAACCGCCACCGACTTGTCGTCTGCTTGCATCGCCATGTCAACCACACCTGCGTTCCTGCTACCCCATTAATGATAGTCACTTACGTCTTACATGAGCATCATTGTCAACAACAACAACAACAAAAAAGCAGCAAACACACTACATGACAACTCACGTCATTGTGCTCCAGTGCCACCTCCATTTTGCGCACAAGTTCGTTCGTGCACCTTGCTGCCTCATGATGGTCGCTGCACAGTTTGTTCGCTTTTCTGTCACGTTCTGGAATAATACAGACACACTGTGCCATTCATCGTCACTGCTGACACCGTCACGCATTTCCACGTCTAACATTAATACCACGCAAACATGCATCCATGTAACTAACACTTTCCTCACGTTGTCTATCCACGCACAACAGTGCACTCACAGTCAACACCATTCCCCTTTCTCGTGGGCACTAGCATCAATAGTTACCTGCCACTACCTCCACGCCACACTGCACAACAACTACCTAACAACTCACCGCCTTCTCTGTACAAGCATTCACATCAACCTCTTTGTAATACTGCAGCTTGTGTCGGCGAAATTCTGTACACACACTCAGATACCTCCCCATACATGCTCACTTCATGTGCCGTCTTCGCATCAACCGCCGCACAAGCAACATTCGAGGCTGCAAAGACGAAACTTGGCAGATGCTGCCACCACTCATGTATCTACCTACCGGCCTCCACTACTGCGTCTTCCTTCTTCACCAACAATTGCTCACGCAGGTGTGAATTTCACTGCGTGATTTCTCACCTCGTCCCACTTACCACCTTAACTGGTGCGCTCACACAAACACACGGTTTCACACCTTGTCACCATCACACCTCTGTCCATCTCTGCGATCTGCACTTTACACGGTCCCCCATTTCTCACCATAACAACCGCAACAACTATCAAGTCATGCATGTCAGGCATGTTTGATTGCATGATGGTTATTTTTAAATTCGTGTAAAATGAAACAGTGCAATCTCGGCCACTGCATGAATTCCACCACGCTAACGTCGCCGCCATTATAATGTCCAACCTGACACCCACCACCACGATCTAACTAGTTGTGCTCACCCGCACTCGAGACCACACTAGCTTTAGTAACAAACAAAAAATACGTTTACGAATCAATGCGCAGTCTTGCATGATTCCTGCCAACTGACGCATTTGCCAATTTTTCGGACTTTGTCACCGCGATTCTGTTAACCAGGTGACACATTCGTTTGTAGCAAACACACTACCAATGCCATTGTAAGTGCACACTCAGAAAAACGCTTTAATGTCACTTAGTGGACCAAAAAAATGCCACATCAAGCTAAAGCAAGCACGTAGTAGGTTGTAAGGCAAGGCTTCTTATTGAAACAGAAAAACGCAACATTTCGATAGACCCACCTTCGTCCTCGAGGCTCACCACGCTGATGCTCCTGCTGCAGCTGCTGTTTCGGCTGTTGATGCAGCTGGTCTTTGCGTTGCTTGGGCAGCTGTGAATGTTCCTGATGTTGCATCTGCAAATCCCGTTGTGGCTGCGGTCGCCGCGATGTTTCATGTTGGTTGCCACGTTCCACTTGCCGCTGCAATAATCAAACGATACCATTCTCTAGCTTATTACACATTCTCCTCTCTCTCTCTTTCATCCGACTAGACCACTATTGCGCATTTTGCTTAGTGCAGGTGCTCCTCAAATGCACAATACCTGATTGAGTGTAGTTGTGTATGAAGTAGCTACCACCAATTGACGCATGAAAGGACTCACTCCTCTCATTCCATAACACGGCATTAAGGATTGCACAACAAA